GATGATGATGATGATGATGATGATGATGATGATGATGATGATGATGATGATGATGATGATGATGATGATATGCCACACAAATTGCCCCTAAGAAGATGGTCCACTCGTGCCACACATTTGCCTTTCCGTTTGCCCCAAAACTGGTCTTTGTTGCTGGGTTTGCCTGGGCGCTGCCCGACCTCGCAGGTGCGGGGCTCGACCCAAAAGTCCGGGTGCTGAGATGGAGAGCCGGATTTGCCCGTTTGGAGGAGCCAGTCAGTCACAGGGTTAACTGTGTTTTTACTCCAAAAACTTGTTGTTTTCAGGTAAGGTCTGTATTGTTTCGATGCCCGGCCCGGCTTAGAGTTTAAACGGTTTAAAGACAACTTGTGACCTAGCACTCGGAGTACAGGATCATTTATGAGTCCCGAATGCCTCCCAATTAGAAACCAAACTCTGTTGGCTGTGATCCTGGCTGTTGTTTTCAAGTGAGTCTTCAAAGGGTAGCTAGCGGGCTAAGACTCACAGTTAGCTGAGCAAAGGCTAAGACTCGGTGTCTTCCAAGTTAAAAGAATTTCGACCACCAACCGACTCAAAGGTACTCAGAGCAGTTTTTTGGCCAGTGGCCCCTTTGATGGGTCGAGAAACGACGAGGACGAAACGACGCGGGACAACGTGAATCCCCGGACAACGTGGGGGGGCGGCACACGACCGGTGAATGCGCCGTCCTCTTAAATGAAGAAGTGGTACCCTCCCTCCAACAATCATGGAAGCTGACCCGGAGCCCCTTGTAGAGGAAAATGGTCTTCCAGGGGCCGAACTGTTCCACTTCCTTGATTGTTTCAGGGAGTGTATATTTTGCGTGGTTTATTTTGGGCCTCCACCGTCTAAGGTGGCAAGCCAAAGCAAAACCGCCTGAGGCCTGTGAGCGGGCGTGTTTCGGCCAAGTGGTTCCAAGTCGGTGGGCGAAGGATGCTGATGTGGGTTTTTCATCCGGGTCTAATTGATTCATATTGATTCTTGGCTAGCTGGTTAGGGAGGCAAGGACGGTTTTGAACCCACCATTGATAGGCCTCTACATGCCGAAAAACCGAACAAGAAACGTTGCACTATAAGTTGATATAAGTTGTAAGGATTCTACACGACAAAAACCAGATCAGCAATTTTTTTGTATACCCAAAGAATCCGGGCCCTCAAACAATCTCAAACACATAGGGTTTTGGGCTGTCATCACTCCCGCTACCTTGGCTGGTCACTTGAGCCGCCGTGGTGGTCGTGGCTGGTCATCCCGAAACGATTAGCAAAAGGACATCTGGCTGGTCCAGGCCTGCCGGCATTTGGAAAGCGGATGTTTTCCGGAGGTGTGTGGTTTCGATGGCTTCCGATTGTGATGTTTTTCTTCAATTAAAACATAAACTCATTTGTTTTCTTTGGAGGTGTGTGCTTTCCCAGATTTGTCCACCCAGCCTTCAAAGCCAGGACGAGCCGGAGGAAGAGCTGAAGGACGAGCAGAAGGAGGAGCAGAAGGAGGAGTCCTTGGAGCAGTGGTTTTGGATGATCGAGCAGGGCTGATTCCTTGGTTGACTCTGTGCTTGGGGACTCCAACCCACGCCCTGGCGCGTTTCGAAGATGCGCTTGGGGTGGGTGCGTGTAGCTTCACGTGGTTGGACCAGGATAGTCCTGTGGTTGGGATGTCAGCTGAACCATTTTCCCCAGGAGCAGCGTCCGAGCTGGGCGGACAAGGCGCGTCCGAGCGAGCTGGGCGCACTCGAGATACCGCGGGATCACGCGGTCGGAACCCCGTGGTGCTGACGGTACGGCGGGGACGTGCAGGGGGCTGGTGACCTTTTCATAAATAAAAGCGGATCTTTTTGGCCGCCGCCTTTGACGGACGCGTGGGTCAAAGGTCTGATACCTGCAGATCCATGCTCAAATCATCTTTGATTCCATTCTAGTCCATGCATTCTTGCACAGTGTCCACGATTCCACATGCTGACTCCATCGCCCGAAATGTTCACCGTCAGCTCCGTTCCGCAGGTACTGGATCAGCCATCCTAGACCCATGGACACCCATTGGCACCATACGAAGCACATTTTCCTCGCACATGTTCCTCCGTCCATGGCACGTACATCGTCGGTGGCCAAGAATGTTGACTGTGAATGACCATCCAGTAGGGTGATCCAAGCAGAGGGGTCACAAGATGGCTATCATGAATCAGTCAACCTTACACACACACACACCCCAAATCACACCATACTTTTTTGATTGGGCGATGACTCTTTTCTTTATGGAATTCCCAAAAAAAGGCATCTAAAACACCTAAAGCCAGAGAATTCCATAAAGAAGCACGCCTAAAGAAGAAGAAGAAGAAGAAGAAGAAGCACGCCTCAAAGCCGGAGTTTTGGACCGGTCCTGACCGCTCGTACCGACGCGGGCAGCCTCGCGCTACGCGATGGCAGCCAGGTTCGGCATAGTCTGGGGCATTGAGCGGCGCCAGGTCTGCGTACTGAGAGGTCCAGGTGAAGCATCCAGTTGGCCCCAGAAATTGCAGCCCAACCGGACAGTGAAGCGACTACGTGACTATGCATGGAGGAAGGTCATGCACATTCATGTACTAGTCATATTATTCACGGAAACCTTCCGAAGGCAGTTCTTTGCAAGGGAGACACGGAATGTTTGATTCTGATCAGCTGAAAAAGGTCTTCCTTTTTGGCCGGGTGTTGATTGGGGATTGATAGTGACAGCCCACCCATGTGTTTTTCCAATATTTTCAAGAAGGCTATGGTCTCATATGGTCGCTATAGTGGCCTGTATATGTATATATATATATACTTGTACATATGTATATATATATATGTCTCTCTATCTATTTTAATATTGAAGTGGAGCTTGTGCACAACTAATTGATCGGATGTGAAGGGCCAATGGACAGGAAATGATTTGGACCCGCCTCAAGGATTTGAAATGAGGCCAGGCGCAATGATCCCTCGGAGTACCAATTACATCTTTTCCAGTGCTCCGACATACCAATGCAGGTGTGATCTCACACCTGCTCTCAGCATCCTGCAAAAGATCAAGGCCTGCTGCTATTTAATTGTTTCACATCAACGATCCATCTATGGTGCCGTAAAATACGAAATTTAGAATGTGGTCGAAATCGCGATTATATATAATTATATCTGATATTCGAGATTTTCGATCTTTAAGACATATTTGTGTTTATTATATAATTTTTTTTGGATCGATTTGATCGTTGGCCGGAAATATATTAATTATTAAATATTTATATGTTTATATTATTATATAATTTAATCTATTTTAAATATATATATATATATTTATTGAAATTATATATATTAATTAAAAACATATAGATTAATTTTAATACAAATTATAAAAATATATTACTATAATGAATTAATTATATTAAATATATATAAAATATATTTAATAATATTAATGTATTGATATGAATATTTGGTTAATATTATATTGAATATATATATTTATTTATATTTTATTTATTTATTTTATATATTTATAATATAATAAAATTGGAATACCCATAATTCGATATTTTTATAATTGTTATAATATTAATATAATAATATAAAACAAATAGAATAATCTATTTATAATATTAAAAATTAAAAAATATATATGAATTATTTAATTATTAATATATATTTATTTTATATTTTTGTATAAAATATAATATTATAATAATAATATATAGATGTTATTTTTATAAATATTAAATCATGTAAATTAATATAATAAATATAATTTTAAAAAATATATATTTAATTATTGGATAATAATGATAATATATATTAAATATCTATATTGATAAAATAGAAATAAATTAAGATATATATGTATTTAAAATATATATATGAAGATAGAAAATTAACTTATATATTCCGTTGTTTTGTTTGCGAATGCAAGCAATTTAAAAATTAATTATTTTTATCTTTATATATTATAAATTTAAAGATGGATCGCGAAGGCGTCGCGAAGGTCTTCTCTTCTTATTTCGCGAAAATGTGCGAAGGTAAATATAATAATATATATATATAGGTCTAGCAAATTATTAAAAATCCATTAGGTCAACCTATTCCCGGACAATTTCCCTAGAAGACCGAAGAATTCCTATAGTATTGGATTTCTTACGAAGAAATAGAATATGGCAAATTGCCGAATCGCAGATTATCTTTGGTTAAGGGTTTGAGGGCAGAGATTTTGATGGATCCATTGGATCATAATGGATATCTCCTTTGAATTGATATATTAATTCGTGGATGAATTAATTTATATTGATTGCGATCAAATTTAATTAATTATATAATAATAATAATATTAATTTTTATTTTGATTAGAATTATGATTTAGATATTCTTATAAATATGATCTCGATAATAATTAAGAAGAGGATTTATCGCAAGGATGATAATCATTCTTTTCTCCCATTATGAATATTAATCCTTAGATATCTTCAAAAATATATATATATTGAAAGAATGAATCGTAATCCACCTGAACGAAAATTAAAATATTGGATCCAATGAATTTTGATTGCATTAATATATTTGATTCGAACAGAATTTGACAAATATGATTATTAAATTCCCATCGTCATTCCAATCCCAATTTGATGAATATGAAGATTTCTTCGATGCTAATCCAATCTCCTCCTCTATTCGCGGCCGCTTGGGGAAATATTATTGACAAACCTCCATAACATAATAAACGTATTGAATATTGGGTTGACATATATTCCTATATTCAAATTCGATCAATATATTTTATAAAAAATGAAATATAGAATTAATATAAATAATTGGAAGAAATGGATGTGATTGAATTTCATGCACAAAAATTGGGTATCACCAATATATTGAGGGTCAATAATAAAACAATATATAATTGACGGATTGGGGGGAAAATTAACAATCAAGGCAATCCTAATCTTTGCATCGATTGGTATCATGAATCTTTCTACAATTCTAGCCGCATAATACCTAAAATTCGAATGTAATTTAATCGACTAGCAAAGTGCGAAAATTCAATTCTTGCCAAAATGCATCAAATACAATTATGCACTTCCGAATAAATCAACCCTCAAAACGGACCTAATTCGATAAAATAGATTAATTTTATTATCCAACCACTTTCATACAAATAAAAATTCAAAAATAAACCTATTTTGAACAAATCGGACCTATTTCGACAACATAATGCTTAATACACATTTAATAAAAGAAATAGCAATATCAAATTAAACAATTATTATATACATTATGCAATTTTTACCTATTCCCCGACAAATTTGGAGTTTTTCATATGTTTCATTTCATTTTCGAGCTATCTCCTCGCATAGCCCGTGCTGGGCCGCAGGCAGCAACGAAGCCCGGACACGTCTAGCACGTCGAAATACCAACTCGAACAGGCAGGTCAGACTTGACCAAAGCTCAGGCAAATCTATCACCTAGCAAATCGATGAAACTGTGCGCTGGCATAGGCGGGGGTTTCTTCCACGCAGGATTGACTAGGCGGGAAGGCACAATCCAAATGAGATATACAGTGCTATGGATCTCTGGATCAAAGCCTGAAGGCATTGGGGCACGAAAATCGTCACTTCCAAGGCAGTGCCACTGTGCCACATGATGCATTTGTGGTGGTGTGCTGTGGGAGTGGATCCCACGTGTGTGACCCCGGCAGTCACCACAAAATCGCGCCACTCCACTGCAAGACCTCGGGCGTCATGGAAGATTGGAACACGGAGGGGGACTCTTCGATACCACTCAATCACATCACAAGTGCTTTTGATGCCAACTGTTGGAAATCGTGTGATCTGAAGGCAAATCCATGGTGAATCATGCGAAAATGCGTGGACAAAGACCTGCTGGTGCCAATCTAATATCAGCTGTTGGAGATTCGCGACTCCATGATGTGGACAGGCTGATGGAACAGGGGCAAAAACCAAAACGAACTCCTCAATGGAAGTGTCAACTCGGGAGGTCCATCCAGCCTGCATGTACACCGGCATTGTTTTCTCGAGCAGTTGCTGTTTGAGCCACCCTGCAAACTCTCCCGCGTTGGTCGCGGACCGGGTGATCATCAAACCTTTCCTTCAAAAGCAAACCGAAGAAGCTACCATCACACGGGTCAACGACACCCCCTGCATGCTGTACAAATATGGTCATCATCTGTCGTTCCCATGGACTCCATAAAGTGGTATTGAAAGTTTGGCTCATGAGCTCCAAACCTGTGCCATCAAAACGCTGTTGATACAATGTGTCGAGCCTGAGTTGGCCAATCGGGTGGCCATCAAGGACCCAATCGATGAAGGTTGGTCTGCCGCACTCGCAAGAGGATGAGTTGTGTGATGTCACATCCTGAAAGCTTCTGCAGATTTTGGAAGAGCTCCGATGCCTCCGGGGACCTGAGACTCAAGTCCAGCAGCCACGGAATAGCCACTGCGGTATCGTGGGAGAGGTTCTCCTGATTGATCTGTTTGAGAGCTGAAAACTTGTGAATCACCGCCGGGAGTTGGCCAAGATGTGCAATCCTTTCGAACGTTTTGATTTCCTCCGATGTCAATGGCGGAGTCTTGTTCGGCTTCAACATCTGGGCTTGAGGATCCTATGATAGGCAGGCCCATTTCAAGTCAGCTGTCAAGATACCCTTGGACTTGAGATTTTGGATCAAGGAGTCGTCTTTTGCCTCCAAGTTCAACTTCTGAGCTCTTTGTGCCAATTCCTGAAAGCAATGCAGGAATAGAGTCGACCTCAGCGGAGCAGAAGCGTCGCCACTTTGCTTGAGGGCATTCCAATCCCTGGCTTTGGCCAACATGCTGGCATAATGCTTCCGCGGTCGCATTGGAGGAAGAACATGCTCTTGTTCCGGAGGTTGATGTTGGCTGCTACTGGAGGCAGAGTACGAGGAAGACGCAGGGCTGGTTTCTTCTTTCGGAGACACAGCCCGCTTGGCTTAGTTGGGCCAGGGCATCTTCCTGCCTTAATGAGAATCTTGCAATCATATTCAGCAGATCGTCGTTGCCGCCACTTGACGTTGAGGCCCAAGAGGGTGAGGATCGATGCATTGATCCCCGGCCAGGTTGTTTTTGGCTATTGGAAGTCGACGTGCGCGGGCGTTTGCCCTGACTGCCTGGGTGCCGGCTGCAAGCCTCCAACAGATCGGTAAAATTTTGATCGTCGGCGTGCATCTCCTCTCCCATCATGATGATTGATCTCTTACCACAAGGTCCAGTCTTGGGCCAGTGCATATTCAATGGAAATGCAATGCAGAATGCATATCATTCAACTGATCTCGGAGATGTTGCTGCGTATAAGCTGGTAAACCTTCCTCTGGTGTCGGTTCAATTGAGTGCCAGGCTCATGTCATGGGGTGCAACTCGTGAAGGCAGGCAAGGAAGCTGAAGACGGAATCCTGTGGCAGACAGGAGAATGGCATATCAAGATGATGTTCAACCTGGATCAGCGAGTCATGGAACCATTTCAATTTGGATTCAGGGTCAAACTGAACCGGC